CCTGCCGGCCCCTCCCACCAGCCATTACATAGAGGAAGCACAGAGATCCATTGATGCCATCACTGGATCTACAATAAGGTATGCAATGAAAATGGAAATGTTTTATTTAAAAATGTAAAATGTTCATGAGGGGGGAGGGAAGGCAAAATACAAGCAGATTAAACTTCATCTTTAATATCCTGTACACCTCGCAGTAGTTTCGGGTGATTTGGAACTCGTACACTGTTGTTGCCGTAGCTGTCTGCAGTGCTAGTCTAGACCAGCACTGTAGTCAGCTACGGCAACAACTGTGTACGAGTTCCAAATCACACGAAACACTGGTGAAGCACAGCAAAGGCCTATATTGGTGGGTGGGCCTGCATGAGAACCTCTTGGTGGGTGGGCTTGCATGAGAATGTTCTGGTATCCACTTGTATTCTCTCCCTGCCAGGTTTCTCAGTTCAGTGTCAGGCCTTTAGTTTTCTTTCCTGCCATCTGATGCCAGTTCAGTTTTAACATTTATCTATTGTTACAGCTCTCGTTGTTGGAGAACAAGATGCTGGAGGAGCTTCCCGATGATGCCCGTGTGGTGGCAGGGCGCTTTCCCTTACCAACATGGGCACCCAGCACCATCATCGGAGAGGGCATAGACAGAACATGGGCTTACGATGTCAGGACTATCCGACAAACTCTGACAGCCAATCAGCTCGGGAGCGAGGTGTGACTGTGGACAAGCCCTGAATGATTTTAACTGTTAACATCGCCTCTAAGGTCAGGGGAACATGACATGTAATGGTGACCTATAAGATAGTATCCTGGGGGCTGATAGTATGTGTGTGGTGGATAGTGTGTGTGTGGTGGATAGTGTGTGTGTGGTGGATAGTGTGTGTGTGGTGGACAGTGTGTGTGTGGTGGACAGTGTGTGTGTGGTGGATAGTGTGTGTGTGGTGGATAGTGTGTGTGTGGTGGACAGTGTGTGTGTGGTGGACAGTGTGTGTGTGGTGGATAGTGTGTGTGTGGTGGACAGTGTGTGTGTGGTGGATAGTGTGTGTGTGGTGGACAGTGTGTGTGTGGTGGACAGTGTGTGTGTGGTGGACAGTGTGTGTGTGGTGGACAGTGTGTGTGTGGTGGACAGTGTGTGTGTGGTGGACAGTGTGTGTGTGGTGGATAGTATGTGTGTGGTGGATAGTGTGTGTGTGGTGGATAGTGTGTGTGTGGTGGATAGTGTGTGTGTGGTGGATAGTGTGTGTGTGGTGGACAGTGTGTGTGTGGTGGATAGTGTGTGTGTGGTGGATAGTGTGTGTGTGGTGGACAGTGTGTGTGTGGTGGACAGTGTGTGTGTGGTGGACAGTGTGTGTGTGGTGGATAGTGTGTGTGTGGTGGATAGTGTGTGTGTGGTGGATAGTGTGTGTGTGGTGGATAGTGTGTGTGTGGTGGATAGTGTGTGTGTGGTGGATAGTGTGTGTGTGGTGGATAGTGTGTGTGTGGTGGATAGTGTGTGTGTGGTGGATAGTGTGTGTGTGGTGGACAGTGTGTGTGTGGTGGATAGTGTGTGTGTGGTGGATAGTGTGTGTGTGGTGGATAGTGTGTGTGTGGTGGATAGTGTGTGTGTGGTGGATAGTGTGTGTGTGGTGGATAGTGTGTGTGTGGTGGATAGTGTGTGTGTGGTGGATAGTGTGTGTGTGGTGGATAGTGTGTGTGTGGTGGATAGTGTGTGTGTGGTGGATAGTGTGTGTGTGGTGGATAGTGTGTGTGTGGTGGATAGTGTGTGTGTGGTGGATAGTGTGTGTGTGGTGGATAGTGTGTGTGTGGTGGATAGTGTGTGTGTGGTGGATAGTGTGTGTGTGGTGGATAGTGTGTGTGTGGTGGATAGTGTGTGTGTGGTGGATAGTGTGTGTGTGGTGGATAGTGTGTGTGTGGTGGATAGTGTGTGTGTGGTGGATAGTGTGTGTGTGGTGGATAGTGTGTGTGTGGTGGATAGTGTGTGTGTGGTGGATAGTGTGTGTGTGGTGGATAGTGTGTGTGTGGTGGATAGTGTGTGTGTGGTGGATAGTGTGTGTGTGGTGGATAGTGTGTGTGTGGTGGATAGTGTGTGTGTGGTGGATAGTGTGTGTGTGGTGGATAGTGTGTGTGTGGTGGATAGTGTGTGTGTGGTGGATAGTGTGTGTGTGGTGGATAGTGTGTGTGTGGTGGATAGTGTGTGTGTGGTGGATAGTGTGTGTGTGGTGGATAGTGTGTGTGTGGTGGATAGTGTGTGTGTGGTGGATAGTGTGTGTGTGGTGGATAGTGTGTGTGTGGTGGATAGTGTGTGTGTGGTGGATAGTGTGTGTGTGGTGGATAGTGTGTGTGTGGTGGACAGTATGTGTGTGGTGGATAGTATGTGTGTGGTGGATAGTATGTGTGTGGTGGACAGTGTGTGTGGGGACTGTATGATAGCATGCGTGTATTTTATCTGTGGTGGACATATTTATCTTTTATTTATGTGAGTGTACTGTATGTGTGCCTATGTCTGTGTACACCACACTGTAACTCTATCGGGCCTATTACATAAAATAGGTCTGGCTGTACATAAGTCAATCAGATGCCGGCTTTTACTTTCTAGGCTTCCTAGATATTGAAGGCCAGTATTTGATTGGTTACTTCAGGTGACATTACATTTGTGCGCACATTGTGCAATAACATTTTATAATTGCTTTTAGAATTTAAGGCCGAACTCCAGGAGTTTTATAGAAAATACCCTTGTAGTGAACAACCCCCCCCCCCCCCCCCACAAAAAAAA